ATTGCCCTCCCATCATGTGTTTCAGATTCAAACTTAAAGACTACTTTCTAGAACAATGTTCGTATTCATGCCACTGCTTTCATCGTATCTTATATGAATGTATATATGCTATATTTTATGTATTGTATATAGCTATTTTTTGTTTTTTTATTTATTATTTATTTTTTTCCAGTCGTAATATCATTGATCTGCACTTCTATCATCCGCTTACATCTTACTCTCTCACGACTCCTAGGTTGGCCGGAAGAGATCTTTTCCAGAGATAAGCCCACTTTTGTTACAAATTTATTTATTTGTTTTTATGTTAAATTTTAAGTAATAATAAATAAAGAGAATAAGTTCACGACTCAAATTTAGTCTAGTTTATGCAACAGAATTGTTTCTTTTGTTTTATTATTCAATTCTAACTAAGCCTATCTTCCATCTGCTGACAAACGATACGCCTTGTTAGTTGTCGTGCCAGTTTTGTTATTGTCAATGTAAAAAGAAAGGCACATTTTATAACAGACAGCTATGCTGTTCTGTGTCACAGTGCTGTCACAGCATAGAGCTTCAATAAAATAAAACCTTTATTACTTATTGAATAGGTTTTATTTTATTGAACCTATATGCTGTGCTAGTATGGCTAACCTGGTGACGCATTGATAATAGTTTATATACAGATTTTTAGCTGTACTTTGCTCCTAATCGGGACAAATACCTTGGCGATGGTTTTAACCTGAATAGCAAACTTTAAATAGGTATATTTGTCTAGCAGTTATAAATTCTAAATACATGCATATCGCTGGTTCATATCGATGTTTTAATCTTAAAGCAATTTTGAAATATATAAAATTGCTTTAAAATTAAACGTAGAAAAATAATTATTATTACTACCAAATTTTCTAATAGTTGTGAAAACTTGCTACGTATTTTTTATCAAATTAATGTGTATTTATTTAAGCAATTTATGAAGTTTGTGAAGCTCATAAAAGTATACGATTATCTAATAATTCAAGTATTTTCAAATAGACTTGTTTCGAATGCAATTAAGTCATATAAGGCCCCCTACGAGTAATTTAGTCTCCTTTCATTAAAATTGGTTCAATTTAATTGGAGACTAATTGCACTGTGCGCTGTACGAACAACATATTTTCTACTCAGTTTTATAATGCCTGATATAAATCACAAAAATAGATAAAATAAATATTAAAATCTTTTTCTTTTGGGAAATTAAATATTTTAATTATTTTTTTATAAGACGAGATCTTTAGCGAATTTGGGATTTTTATTATATATACTCGTATATATCGACAAAACTGCAATCCAAATATTTATATACTAGCTTTTGCCCGCGACTTCGATCGCGTGGTATTCCAAAAACGATAAAACAAAAAGTATATAATCATTGCATCGTGTAAAATATCGGAATGTAAACTTTGACAATTACGAACTTATATATAAACTTTTCTTCCTTATTTATACGAGGGTCAAACTGAAAGTTCTTAGAACTGGCCACTTATAAACAATATAATAAAAAAATAATTCTAAAATTTGAAAATATAACTCTTTGCCAATATTACTGAGTATATATTTCATTCATTTGTCATTGTTTTACGATTTGGCGGCAAATTGAAAATTGTCTGTGTCACGTCATCATGAATTTAACACGAGAAAATTTTCGTGCAATGATTTTTTATGACTTTCGATGTCATTTAAGTCAACAAGAAAGTTATGATAGACTACGATTGCCTTTCACGATGAAGCCCCATCTCGTGCGACTGTTTACAACTGGTTTAATGAGTTTAAACGTGGTCGCACTAATCTCACTGATGATTTACGTGAGGGACGGCCTTCTACGGCGACGACTGAAGATAACATCTGTGTTGTGCGGCGTATGATAGAGACTGACAAAAGAGTGACCTATCAACAGATTCGGACAAGCTTAGGCATCGGTATGAGTCAAGTGCACAAAATCCTCCACGAACATTTAGCGGTCAGGAAGCTTTGCGCCCGGTGGATACCTCATAATTTGACTGAGGCTCAAAAACTCCATCGTGTGGATTGGTGTCGTAAAATGATTGATAGATTTAACGGAGGTGACTCAAATGCTGCGTTCGACATACTAACAGGTGACGAAAGCTGGATTTACTGTTATGATCCTAAAACCAAAAGACAATCTGCTCAGTGGGTGTTTCCTTTCGAGGAGTTGCCAACTAAAGTGAAGAGAGATCGAAGTGCGGGAAAAAAAATGGTGGCCTCGTTCTTTGGAAGGATAGGTCATTTTGCAACAATTGTGTTAGAGGATCAAAAAACAGTTTCTGCAAAATGGTACACTACCAATTGTTTGCCACTTGTCTTGGAAAAAGTTCGAGAGAAACGACCTCGCAGTAGGATCCTCCCTTCACCACGACAACGCCTCGTCGCACACCGCCAAGCGAACGATCGACTATTTGGCGACATCAACGTTGAATTACTGGGTCACCCGCCGTATAGCCCCGACCTCGCGCCTTGTGATTTTTATTTATTTCCAAAAATTAAAGAAAAACTTAAAGGAAAGCGGTTTATGAATGCTGAAGAAGCGGTGGCTGCGTATCGCGATGCCATTGAAGAGACCCCTAAGACGAGTGGGCAAAGTGCTTTCCCAGTGGTTCCATCGCATGCAGCGGTGTATTGACGTGAATGGACAATATTTTGAAAAGATATAATAAAACTAATAACTGGCTAATGTAATCAGTTTTTGATTTTCTAAGAACTTTCAGTTTGACCCTCGTATATTCCTATATCCTATATCAAGTCGTCTCTGTTTAGTGGGTTAGGCGTTATAACGTAACAGACCTGCTTTCGTATGTACGATATAATTCGGTAAAACATCTTTCCAATTAGGCGGCTAACCCTATATTAGAATAGCTGAATTCATGTGCATAAAGGTCGATCTGCTGGGTAACATCACAACGTCCTACTAAAGTGCGATTTTTTAAAGCTCAGCAACAAAGAAGTTTCATAAAAAAGTTTTCACCCTTTTTGACCAAAAATTTAGATAGAAATTTAGATTGAGAAACACCCTACAAACTTGTAATAAGACGAGTGTACCCTCAAATTTCAAATCTCTACGACCAGCGGTTTAGGCTGTGCGTTTTCTGTCAGTCAGTATATCAGGATATCTCAATTTATATATATCCGTTGAATATAGAATTTTCTTCTTATTGGATTTAAAAGTTGGTTTATAAGGACAATAAGTTTAAAATATAAATCTCCACGAATAAAGATGAAATTTTAATTTACAAAATAAATATTGAGTAACTTTTTCGCAGTATCGGCATGCCGGTCACCGTTTGTCTTTTGCCTCAGCAAGTTGTCATATATGTTTAACCTAGATAAAGAAGATTTTCGTTTACGTAAAATGTACTATACGACGAATATACAGTGTAGTTACCACAGACACGACTAGCGGGCGAATAAAACTAAACATTTAAATAAGTACATGTATTTCACAATAAAACTGAATGTTTATAGGATAAAAGAATTTCTGCGAATGGCTTTTCAACGAATTCAATTAGAGTTAACTTGAAGAATTATTCAATAAATCATTACCTGGTACTTTTAAATTCGTCGATATCACATCTGCTGCCGACTGCTAATTGTCGACTGCCTAATTTAATTCATTTAAGTGTACTTGCATTTTAGAGGTTAATTTATTTTTGGCTTAATTTTATATAGAAATATATTTAATTACTTTACTTTTTTATGAAATTAGTGATTTTGGTTTAGGTGTCCCTTTAAAACTTACTGAAATAAAAGATAGATAAATATTATAAGATCATTCGCATCGTAATGTTTGCTTTGTGTTTATTTATTTAGGAAACTATATCACAGACGGTACTTCTATAAGTAATATTATTTTATATATTATAGGTATGGACTTTAATATAGAAGTTATAAAATTTACACTGTAAATACTTTTCAAGTACTTATTTAAGGACAGCATCTTTGGTCAAAAAATACCTTCAACAATTAAAGGGTTAACACTTAAAGGTTCTGTTAAGACGCAACTAATAATAATAAAATAATCTTTATAACATACATCTTTATAACATACAGTTTATACTGACAACGAAATAAACACCAAAAGAAATTGGAACTCAGGACACAAGAGCACACATGATCAGCATGTCAGTCCATTACGTGCTGTGTTTACGATGCAGCTGATGTGGGCCAATGGACGAGCGAAGGGTCAAGTGCAGTGATACTTCTTAACACTGTCGTTATGTCTTATACGCAAAAAGAAATGTAATAATTTCTAGCCTATATATTTTTGATAAAAAAAATTAACAAATAACAATAATAACTCAGCAGATCAAAGGATCTTCAAAGCATTTGATAGATTTGAATGTAATAAAAAAAATAACATAAGTTTTTTCATTGATGTTTTTAGGGTTTATTTCGTTTTGATTGTCATGGAATGCCTCTAGTGTTTAATTTTTGATGTTCTTTTTTCATTTAGCAAAGGTTTTGATTATATTTGAGACTTCAACTGCTTACAGTAAGTGAATGAATTTTTAAAATCGATCGATAGTTTCGGAGCTTATTTAATGCAAAGAATTAACGATCTAATATTTCCTCTTCATAATATTAGTATAGATTATATTAAAAAGAGTAGATAGATATATTGGTAAAGATATTATCATCATCATCACCAGCCCCTTTATTAGTAAAGATATTGATTTATTTTAAATTTTGAAATAATCTTATTTGTATAAATAAAACAAACTTTTCAAAAAAGTTGAATCTTTTTTTTTTATTTAACGCAAATAAGAGAAATCTAAGTTCATAGGTTAATAAAATCAAATTAAGTTCTTAATGAAAAATGCTTAAAAAATCCACATTGTCCCTGGTACCTACTCTGTGATGGAATCGAATTAAGTTGTAAAAGAAATAACGAAAATAATAGCTCGACAGTTGAAATAATAATTCAACAATCATAACAATTGAAACCGTGATGAAAAAATGCAAAAACTCACAGGTATTTGGTAGAAAGATCCATTGTTGACTGTAGGATAAGAAGTTAAAGGCACCACTGGCACTGTTCCGTTGCGCAGCAGAATTGGCCCCTGCAAAGGCGTTATGGCGGGCTGATCGAAATCTGAAAAAGCAAAGAAGTTTAATAAATTGTTTAAAACTGGTTGTAATGTGGGAGCATAGGACAGGACATCCTTTGAAGGCGTTAGTTGGAATATTTTATCAGACTTCGCTTATTGTGGATTTTAATAAAGGAGAACTTTGTATGTAGGCTGGTACTTTATTCAAATTATCTCTAACTAATATTTTTATTTTATTTTTAGGCGCCACCAAAATATTTATTTTCTGATTTGAATATCATTTGGTTTGGTGGATATTTTATAATTTATGTACTAACACATGAATGCATTAAAAAAATCTATGGCAGCCTCATCCCAAGTTACGTTCCAATTCATGCTGTGAATCAATCTATTTGGACTTGTTAATTCAGACCTCTAAATGTCAAATACAGAGATATTTTAAATGAATCCAAACTCGTCAACGCAGATTTGGCCCGGCTTAAGACTATTCAGTGAGCGGCTTATTATAATAAACACATAGTAAACAAATTATGGATTCGATTTTCACAATATTGATATATGATTCGCCTAATAGGGATGCTAAGTTATTATAAGGTGCTTTGGGATAATACACAAAACAGGCACATTCAAGATGCCTGAAAGTGACGAATTAACAACAACAACAGGTTTTTACTAGATAAAAAAAATCTTTTGATTATAACAAACATATTGCTTTTTATTTAATTTAGTATCGGATTTTTCCCGCTTTCGTAACTACCCCAAAGTACCTTAACTACCGAAATCTAGGCTCTGGACAAAGATCCCTTTACGTTTGTTTTGATTTTCTGCACTTAATTTTTTTTATGAGTTTTATGGCTACTAGAAACACTAGTAGTGTTTCTAGGCAAAACATACCATTTTTTAAACTCATTTCTCTAAAACGGGGGAAATTTAGAGGCCTGAAATTTTGATGAAAGGTAAAGTATTGAGTTTACATGCTAAAATAATTTTCTTTATAGTGGTTACATTTATTCGGAATAGAATACCAAAAAAAACATTCTCCTTTCCTTTATTAACAACTTTTTTTTAAGGATATGTCCCTTATTTTATTTATAATTTATTTATTTGCGTTTTAGTGCGTGCGTACAAATATAAGCTTGTTTTTATAAAACTTTTTTTTTAATTATGTTCATATTTTTATGGTACGTAAATTTATGTGATTATTTTTTTCAACTTGTTTTGTTTAGGTACTTCTTTTAGAAGTATAATAAAGATATAAGAATATTATAAACTAACTTAATTATTTTCCTTGATCATGCGAGTGGATCTGCGGGCAACTGCTAAGAATAAAGCCAAATGAATTCCAAGATAAGCAGTCTCACGAATTATATTCCACTTTTAATATTTGCAGAGAAATGGTATGGCCGAAACCACGACTACGCAGCACAATTTCATTTCCGCACCGCATGCTTCATTTAAATATCAAATAAGATGAAAGCAATAGGATGAATGCGGATTAAAAGTCACAAGCTACGACCATTCAGAATATAGGCAAAAGCTCTGTTTTCTTTTTGGAGTTGACCACACTAGTTATAGATTTTTGTTGTACAAGAGTACAAAGGTGCTTTTTAACCGCGTGCTCATTGCCGATCAAGCGAAGGATTCTAAGATTAGAATCCTGAGCGTTAGCGAGGGAATCAAAGAGCACGAGGTGAAAACTCTTTGCACTCGAGTGCAACACGTAACTTTTCATCCATCTCAGCGAAGAAATGATTAAATAAATAAATAAATGCAGAGGAAATATTTATAATCACATGATACTTTTATTTTGGTTTAGGTATTAACTACTACATTATGAATCTTTAAATTAGAATAAATAATACTAAGAAATAATTTAGAAAAGGCGAAAGGAACATTGCTACAGTTAAGTGTAATAGTTTTGTTTGATACTATAATGTTTAAAAAAGACATAAAAAGAAAATGACGCGTGCAAAATAAAATAAAAAAGTACTCCAAGAAGGTTCCAAGTCTAAGTTTTTATCAAATTAACCACCATAGAGGTAGGAGAGAATACATTTAATGATATTTTGAATTCACAAACTTAGCGCACATGATGTTCTAATTTCAAATTACTTTATCATCTAGAATAAAAACGGCTTTTGCGCTTAGATACCGAAGAGCAAAAATACTTTTTCTGAGATAGGGGGATGAAAAATCATTGATGTTTAATCTGATGTCGCGTTACACTTCAGTTATGATGATAACCTATAAAGATTCTTTATAGAAGGTTTGATTATTGCCATGAAACCATAAAAAACGTTCAAAAAATAATTAATTTACCTATATGATTTGTGGAATGAATCCTTCGTCGTATCAGATTAGCCAGTTTTTGGTAATGTCCATCAGTGGACTGTATTTTAGATAAGTCATACTTATTAAGCCGGTATATTATTTTACTATTATAAATGCTATATAATCTTTTCATAGCCAAACTGCTGATTTTATTGCCATTATGACAAAGATATCGTTTGAAGCTTAGGAAGGGTTACCGGGTTATTTTTACGGATAGCATTATTTCTCACTTTTATAATATTTTTATAATATCCACATAAAAACATATGTCAACTTAGTGAAAGACTTAGAAAAGGAGATTTAGTTTCTTTGCTTGACATATTTTTTTTATATAAAGATGAATGATTTGATCGTTTGTTTGTTTTCATTGAAGAGGCTTATGAAGTACTTAAAAAAAACGCCTTCGGGAAACTAAATCATACGCAGAGGACATAGTCTATAGTTACGTGACCGGACATAGGCAAAATAGGAAAATACTCAATCTTTTGTTTTTTTTGCTCATTTTTAACACGTCATCTAGGTAAATATTTAGTGAAAAGTATATTTTGTTTTGTTATAATAAGAAATTAAATTGCTATTAAATTTATATGTGACCACTTCAGGTTCTTCAGCTGTCTTATGAAAAAAGAATTTTGAATCGGTAACAATTCGCGGAAATATCACCGATATTTCGAACATATAACCTTCTTTTCGATTTTGATGTCGGTTAAAAATAACGAACAATATGTTGTAGAGTATATTTTAAGGATATTTGGTTTAACGAATGAATTGAATTTTAGCATTCATGAAACCTCGATTAAGAGTCAGCAGACACGACCAAGGTAATGGTTACATTTGAAATCGATCAATCATCCATCACAAATCTATTTGAATAAAGTTAATGTTAAACAGATGGGTACCTGGATATTCGTTGTTGACATTGGTTTAATCGATTTAGAAACGGAAGCGAGGTCGTTTGGTATTTCATAAAATACCGTTTTAATCGATTTTTTTACGAATACAATAATGTTACGTGGTTAGAATGATAAATTCATTCAAGGGTTATTTTATTTTTTTACGGCAGATTTCGAGTGACTGATAAGATAGTTTATAAGTTTCAACGCTAAGTTCCCAGGGTCGATTTCCTATAGGTTAATGTAGAAAACAAACTATATTTTATTGAGTATAAAGGATTTTCCCTAAGTATTTGTACATTTTACAAAAACAATCCATTTTTTTTAATTCCATTATTTTTTTATAAAAGACACATAAGGTGTGTTTATGCAACAAAAACATAGATATTTATGTTGCTATTGAGTATGCAGTTCCGCTTATTTATTTGGGTAACTTGAGCACCCGTAGCATGATGAACTCGAGAAAATTTGTCTACCTTTGGCCGTGACTGACATAATGAGGGATATTTTAATGTTTGCGTTTGCGTTGCATATGATCAGAAACTACCAATTAAAAAAAAATCTTTACTCACGGGAAGAATACGCAGGTGATACAAATTATAATTTCTGCGGAGATGTTGCAGGGAAACATCTAGTAAATATATACGACCGAAGTGACCGAATGATTAGCATGCATTTCAAGGCGCATTTCTTTAATATTTACAACGTCTTGAATACCATCTTTCTGATATGCGAAATATTTTATGCAATTTGTGTTTATTTAAAAACAGACAAAGCATAGAACCTCGTTCAAGTAGGTATGTCTCCGATTAATTATTTGTAAATAAGACTGCAGAATCGTAAATATTAATTTAACAAATTGATTTGTGTCATGCTATGAATTACATTTGAATCGTAATAAGTCTACTTATTGACAGTGAGATAGACCGAATTCTAAGAAATTTGGAAGCTAACATGGTTCCGTTTTGTAAAAGCTTCTCGATTTAAATATTATAACTAATATGGTTAATTATGGAAGCTGTGGATATTTTAGTTTTTATCTTTAAATAGCTTTCTGCCCTGACTATAAATAAGTGAATTATACTAACGAATACAATTTACACAATAGTTTCATCATCACCATACGGAATTCAGCCAGTTAGCCTAATTTTTCTGATATCTTAAACAAATTAGACTTAGTTTAGTCAATTTTCGTAACACTCGAACAGTATAAACCTGAAACTTATGAACTACAACATTCGTCAAAGAACCACATAAAATTGGGTTCGCTAGTTTTTGCTTCTTTTCAGTACTTTATAATTTGATCGGCTTATGTTAGCATAAGAAACAAAATATGAAACCTTTCAGTGTCTAATGTCAGAAAATAATAGGTTTTTGGCAAAGTTTAAAAAACTTAATGAATTAATACACAGTCGTATAATAAAATTAAAACCGACTTACAAAACATTTGTATGTAATATGTACCTATATAATGTAGGACTACGCGTTAGTAGCCACTGGCGGAAAGTTAGTTTTATATTTTTGTCAGTTCTGACGTTTCGCTACTAAGAAACACGCGACACACTCCGTTAGATGGATCATTTACAGGCATTAATAGTATTTCGTTTGGATCCGTGGGGATGGAGATTAAACCTGCGGCAGGGACGGTCCATAAAGCATGCACCCCTAAGAAAAGCCGTTAATAGTATATGAATGCGTTGTTTTGATAGTTTAGTGATTATGTTATTGGTGGCATTTGTTTTATTAGAAAAGTAGAATACTATAGGTATTAATATTTAGTAAATAAATATTTACTTGTCTTTTTATTATACCAATTTTGC